TGAATAAAGAATGTTTAACTGACTTTTAAATTTACAAAAGTGAGACAAGTGAGATCACCTTGACAGCTTGCCCATCTGCACAATGGTAAAACTCCTCCTTTATCAAAAATTTTACCTACAAGGGCCTACTGGATAGCACAGGGAACAATATTCAATATTTTGTAATAACCTATAATGGAAAAGAATCTGAAAAAGAATAGATATATATATGTATAATTGAATCACTTTGCTGTACATCTGAAACTAACAAACATTGTAAGTCAACTATACTTCAATTTAAAAAACATTACAAGTTTCTTAGTCCTTTAGAGCTCAAGCTGTAAGTTGGGATAATTTGTTTTCACTACTAGCAATCTGAAATTAGAAATATCCTTTATACCTATGAATGGCTGTCCCAGATAGGGAGTTACCTGGCTGTCCAAAGATCAGCCTTTCTCTCCCCACCCCCACTGCCCCTGGGCACCCCCATCACTTCACCTTTCTTCTCTTCTTCATTACCGATTAGCAGAACACCTTTGTTCTATTCCCAATTCCGATGTGTGTGTATGCTACCAAGCAATTCTGTGACACCAGCTGGGTGTCCTACAGCTCAACTCAGCTCTACACTATCTACCCAGATAGCGCATCCAATTCCACAGGTTGAGGGCTCAGTCCTACAAGAACCACCCCCTTCCCCCAACAAACAAACACACATTCAAAGGCCAGTTTCAAGCTCTTATTATCACCTGTGCTTCTGACCGACTGGCTATTGATTGCAGGTTCCAAAGGCTCCCTCCATGGGTTCAATTAATTTACTAGAGCTGACTTCAGATACCAGTCACAAATCCAGACTGTTACCTGTACTTCTGACCAACTGGCTATAATTCAGTTTCCCAGAACCCCCTCCTTGGGTATGGTTAATTTGCTACAGTGGCTCACAGAACTCAGCAAAACTGGTTTATTACAAAGGCTAGGTAGGAATCAACAGTCAGATGAAGATATACACAGGGCGGGGTCCTGAACAAAGGTGCTTCTGTCGGTCATGGAGTTTGGGGCCTGGCATACCGACCAGGAAGTTCTTCAAACCCCTTCCTTTTGAATTTTTATGGAGGCTTTATCACACAGGCATGAGTCATGAAATCACTGGCTGTTGGTGACTGAGTTAACCTCCAACTCCCTTCCCCTCCCCAGAAATCACGGGGTGGGACTGAAATTCCCAATTCTCTGTTCACAGATAGTTTCACTGGCAACCAGCCACCCCACCCCCGCCATCTTCAGGGGATTTCCGTACGTCACCTCATTATCATAAACCCAGGGATGGTGGAAAGGAGCCTGTAATGAAAATCAAGACACCCTATTCCTCTGAACACAAGACCAAATATTGTAACAAAAGATGCTCCCATTGCTTTAACTGCTTAGGAAGATCCCAAGTGTTCTGGGAGCTGTGAGCCAGGTACTGTGGACAAAGACCAAATACATATGAGAAATACATTTTGGTCATCTGAATGACCAAATACATATATTTGGATATCGCAGCTGTTACCTTCCCAAACCTGTTAACAAGGTCGCCAAAGTTGCCTGGGGCCACAGGTATTTCAACTCTAACCAGGGTCCTTCACTCCCACTTTCCACTCCATCCCCCAGCATCTCTCCATGCTAGCTCACTCATCCCTACCTGAAAGATCTCCATCTCATTTCTTTAAATGCAAATGTAGTCCCTGATCCCGAAAACTATACTAGTTCCACATGGTAATACATGCAACTTGCCCTTAAACATTCCATGCTCCATTGTTCCTGGGAAGAGAATAAGGTTTGGCCAAGAAGCCTCACTCCCAAGTCTATGCCTGAGGGAGAGAAGTTGCTTCCCTGGGTGCTGAGTTGGCTTTGTGAATGCAGGTTCTCATAGAACCATTCTTACAAATGACGTTTCATCTGCTCTATCAGGAACACCACAGTCTAACTGGGTATTTGTGTGTTTTCTAGGTAAATTAAGGAAATTAGCGTGGCTAGTATGAGATTTACACCAATACAAAAAAAAACCCCACTAATTCCTCAAAGGAGTGTAATCTAGGTTCCAAAATCTGGCTCTCCAGCCAGGTTGTCTCTCTTTCTGGCTTCTCCACTTGGATGTCCCCCAGGCGCCAAAAACCTAACATTTACATTTCACCGAACCTGCTTGTCCTCCAGTCCCTGTTTAGTTAATAGCACCTTATCCACCGAATCCTCAGCCTGGAAACCTGAGACGGCTGCGATTGTTTCCTGTTCCCCACAGCCCACACCCAGCTGGGCTCAAATCCTGCCCCTCCTTTCTCCGCAATGTCTCCCTAGTCTCCCTCCTGCCACAGCTGGAGTTGGGACCCCACCAGCTTTTACTGTAACTATTGACAATAATTTCCTCAGTCATCTCCTTCCTTTGTTCCTTCCTACTCTCTTTGCAGATCCATCCTTGGTTCTGCCTCTGGAGTTTTCTTCCCAAAACACTGAAAGGATTATGACAGGCCCTGTTTAAAACAAAAAGCAACAACCACACACACACACACACACCTGACTTCTGAAGATTCTCAACTTTAGGTATATACTTTTAAAAATATTTTTTAATTGAAGTATGATTGACCCACGACACTACGTTAGTTTGAGGCACACAGCACAGTGATTTGATGATTCCATACATTACAAAGTGGTCACCACGAAGACAGAGTCTTGCCCACTCTGTGTTTCACCAGAGCAACTGGTCAGTACATCTGTGGCTTTTGCTGGCAGCAGCTCTCCATGCGTCTCAGACATGAGCCCTCCAATAAGGCCAGGAAACAGCTTGAATGAATGTGTCTAGTCTTCTCGCAGTCTTGCTCAGATGTCCAGAAAAGAGAACCACAGTGAGAAAACTACAGGGAAATACAGAGAGAAGTCCACTCCTGGGGTTCGAGTGGGGACTCCTGCTCTGGAAATAATCCACTGGCTTTCTTGTCTAATCTCAGATTTCCAAAGACCAGAGACAAAACGTTGTATTAAATTGTGGAAGCCCCTCTTAATCACAGTTTTTATGAGTTCTCCCCCTTTCACCATTTCCCTGATTTGTCTCTTGTCAGCTTACTAGAATTTTAATGATTTTAGCTTGAATTAACTTGTTAAAACAGTATACAAATTTTCCTATTCAGGTATGTTAGAATAATGACTTAGAACACCAACCATTTTCTTCCGGATTATAATTCCAAATTGAAGCTCAGAATTTGGGGTCAAATTCTGAAAGAACATTCTTCCTAAAATCTAAATTAATTCAGACCACAAATATATTTTGAGGCCATATTTAGCACCAAGCACTAAGGAAAACTAGGGGAGTGGGACAGGCATCAACTGAACAATCCCCTGAGACAGTCAAGTATAAAACTGCACGTGTGGCAAGTGCTCTGACGGGGCGATGCTTCATACTTGGAGAAACAGTAAGGCTGGATTTCGATTTAGTCCAGGGGTCCCCTAGGGAGGAACATGATGGGGAACAGGAAGGATGACTAGGAGATACCCACTTGAGACAGTCAAGCATTCCGGGCAAAGGGAACAGCACAGGCAAAGTGGCTGTAGCCAAGGAGGGGAGTAAGGAGTATGAGATGGGCTGGGAGAGGCAGGTAAGAGCTAATCCCGTCATAGTTAAGGAGTATTATCTTTACCATAAACGTAATGGAAGCCCATAAAGAGCTAACACTATGGAGAGGGAATGGGTGCTACTGATTATGGTTTAATCAAAGAAAGAAAGATTTATTCTGAATTCCATCTCCGACCCCTGGGATGCTTTGTTAACACTTTCATGCCTCCAAAACCCATAGGTTTTATAGGTTCTCTACCTATAACCAGTTGGCCTCCATGCGTGTCATCTGAAGTGTTGGGAGATATTGTAGGGAACAATGAGCCAGCTGCTGAGATCTTTAAACTCCTTGGATGAAAGATGTTATACAGCCTATAAATGTAAAGCATTGTTATTACCTGTCAGACAGACAGATGCCTCTAGCCAAAAAGGAAATCAGCAAAATACAAAGTGTATGAGGCTTCACCCACCTCTGTGATATTTAAATGTATAATCTGGGTATAAATTAAATGGGTTTAACGCTGGGGAAGCGCAGCATCTTTGATCTAAAGTGCCCAGAGCACTCTGCAAACTGAAGTCATCCATTCTGAAAGCCACTACAGAACTTTCTTCCTGAGAACTATGATAGTTCTCACAAAGTTTAACTTTCTTTTTAAAAGTCACCACCAAAGTTGGGGTAAAATCTCTGAAAAAAGGACATAAGCTCCTGGTTTACAACGCCTGTCCTTTTTTTTTTTTTTTTCTCATTCAAACAAGCAAACAAAAAACACCTTAAAGCTGAAATATTAAATATAGAATTGGAGACGAAGGAAGAGCTAAAATAAAATAAGCAATAAACTTTCTTCCCTAGATAAATATCTTCTCTCTTTCTTTAGTGCAGGACAATTTAGTACTTTATGCATTGTTCTGGCCCAAGAGGAAAAGTGGAGAAAAGGGATGGCAGATGAAGGAACCTTAAGGATAGGCTAGACTTTTGGCAAAAGAAGTGAAATAGAGACAGAGATGAGAGAGAAATTTGTAAACTGATTCCTCTCTTTTCCTTTCAAAGAAAACCTTTAATATTATTGGAATCATCAGAACAGCTGACACTGTGGTGGAGAGAGGGAGGGAGACACACGCAAAGCCCGGAGGCAGCTTGCTCAGGGCCTGTGAAAATGTTTCCAGTTCCTTTAAAATCAGAAGAAATAATATGATCTAGTTTGGATTAAATTTGTCTTTATATCAACACAGCCATACAAGACAATTTAAAAAAATGTTTTTTAATGATGGAAGGGGTTCACCAAGGCAAAAATACCCAGGGCCTGTGAAAGTTAAAATGTGGCTTTAGAAATGCCCTAACAGGAATCTTGAAAAAAATGACTGAGGAAATCCTCGACAAAGATTTACTTATTCTACTCAGACAATAGAGAATCTCACAAAAGCAACTAAATATCATGTTTTTCAGGTGATTCAACAAACTAAATGGAGCCAGCTAAGTGAACAAATCTGGACGGCTATCAGCAAAGGAAGACGTCGTGTGATTTCTCCATATACCTAACCTACAGAGCACCGGGTTGTTATTTTATTTAAAAGGCCTATTGAGGCCACTCTCCCTTCTGAGTAAGACAGCCTGCACTCTGTCTTTGGAGTGTGAATCTACTGAGTCCCCACACCTCACTGCCTTTCTCTTGCCTTCTGACACAGGCTGCACTCTGTCTATGGAGTATGTATCTCCCTGACTAAATCTACCTTTACTCAAAAAAAAAAAAAAAGGACTATTGAGATGAGAGGCATGAACCTCACTGAAAATTTGTAACTACAAGCCCTTCCTTATGCCAGTTTCTGAGCCAAATTTGCATCAACTGTGTCATCTGATAAACTTACTGCCAAAATCTGTTTTTAATTTTTCCTGGATTGGTGGTGCCCCTCATATCCTGGCAGAAGCTAACACAAATTCTGTCTCAAGGAAAGCACTTAAAACTCTCAAACAATTCACACAGATACATTCCACAAACATGAGCCTACAGTAAAAAAAAAAAAATCATAAAACATGAAAAAAGAAGCCTAACATAAGCAAGAATCTGTATGAACAAAAAATAAAATGAGACAGAGATTTCAAAGAATGTCATTATTGCACACCTAATGTATATTGTGTGTCTAATATGCTTAGAGAGATATGAGACATTTGGAAGTATGAGTAGGAAATAGTATTTTGAAAGCATTGACAGAATGCACCAATAAGTCCCAAATTCTATACCAAGAACTCTTTTAAGAATGAGGGCGAAATAGATACTTTTGGACAAACAGAAACAAAGTTTACCTTAAAGAGATCCTCACTAAAGGATATACTTCCAGAAGAAGGAAAATTATTCCAGAGGTGGTTTGAGATGCAAGAAGAAATGGTGAAGAATGTGTAGACTAGTGACTAAAGAAGAACGTACAACCTTAGAGTCTGTGGACCTTACTGAGACCTATAGCCCAGGTAGCTCTGAGGAACAGCTCCAAAGCAGTAAGGGAGGAGCCAGGATATATAGATGTTTTTAAGCAAAAGCTTAAAAAAAAAAAAAAAGCCACGCAGTCAAACATCAAAAGATTACTGCCAGTCATAAAAAACTGATGTCTCAAGTTAATGATTTTAGAGCTTTTCTGTATATGGGAAGATGCAAGAGTCTGGGCTCACTGAAATTATTCCTTAGAGACCTATCTTAACCAGATAGGGCTAGTATCCGAAGGGCAGAGTGCTTTCTGTTTTTCTCCATCCTGAATTCCCCTAAGGGCGCACCTTAGGGGGAGGGGCACTTGCTGTGGCTGGTGGCTCGGTTCTTGTAGAACTGGAATGACAGGCAGCATTGCCTTTCCACAGGACAAGTCTAATTAAACCTCGGCTATACAGAAAAAAAAAAAAAGACAATGTATAATCATAAAGTGGATAGAGTAAAAACAATGGATTATAATAAATTAGGAGAGGGATTTGATCGGTGTTAAACCAGTCTAAGATTTTTGTATTATTTAGAGAAAGGTAAAGATATTAATTCTCTTTAGACTTTAAAAATTTCACTATGTGTGGGGACATTTCACCCGAATCGAGGGAAGATTTTTGAATAAAGATGGAGAACTATACACGTGCATTTGCCTCTATTCCTCTCAAAGAAAAATCTAATTAAAATTACAGTAAATGGGGGTAGGGGAGGTGGGCGAGTGGAGGGTATAGGTCAGTGGTAAAGCACATGCTTAGTGAGGTTCAATGCCCAATACCTCCATTAAAAAAACAAAACAAAACAAACTGTATTCATATCAACAACTTGCTTGTGAGAAAAAAAATTACTGTAAATGGATTTTTTCAAAGGGCCTCCATCCAGGTACAAGGACAAAGATAACAGGACAGAAGATAACAATACCAAATTTTTTAAATCACAGCAATATTTTTTTCAAATTAGCTCCTAGAGTAATGGAAATAAAAGCAAAAATAAACAAATGGGATCTAATTAAACTTAAAAGCTTTTGCACAGCTAAGGATACCATCAACAAAACGAAAAGACAACCTACAGAATGGGAGAAGATATTTGCAAATGATGCAACCAACAAGGGACTAATTTCCAAAATATACAAATAGTTCATTTGGCTTAATATCAAAAAACAAACAACCCAATAAAAAAATGGGCAGAAGACCTAAATAGATATCTCTCCAAAGAAGACATCCAGATGGCCAATAGGCACATGAAAAGATGCTCAACACTGATGATTATCAAAGAAATGCAAATCGAAACTACAATGAGATATCACCTCATACCAGTCAGAATGGCCATCATTAAAAAGTCGACAAAGGACAAATATTGGAGAGCATGTGGAGAAAAAGGAACCCTCCTACACTGTTGGTGGGAATGTAAATTGGTATAGACACTATGAAGGACAATATGGAGGGTCCTTAAAAAACTAAAAACAGACTTACCATATGATCCAGCAATCCCACT